TTTTTTTTTTTTGGGGTTAGTAATGTTTGGAAGGCGTTATTTGTGCAGCAGTTTTTTCATTAGGGACGAGCGTTTAACAGCAGCTAAAAATTGAGGATCATTTCTTTTTTCCTCGTTTCTGTCCTTGACGTGTCAATTCTAAAGAAATTGGTGAAAAAAGTGCAGTCAGTAGTGCTAATGAAGCACGGTGAACACGTAGATCGCTTGTTATCACATGAAAATAATAGAAAGGCAATAGAAAAGTGTTGGATCTAAAGCGTACGAATTCTGTAAGGGACCTAAAGTGAGTTAAGGAATTCTAGTGCAACAGATTGATAAAAGTAACTGTAAATTTTCAAAATAAAATCGAAGAAATTCTGAATGGTTTGTCAGCTAAATATTTCATTGCAAATGAAAGATCGGCGATGAAAGCGTACAGAATAACAATTAGAAGCGTCATTAGGGAGGATGGGGGACTAGCCGTAGACTGATAACCCACAAGGTTTTCTCTCAGAAGATTGGCGTCGACGTCTGTAAAACCAGCAACCTTCGGCTCCATTGAGACGTTCATTCTCTTGTATGGTACCTGAGAAGTGATTGTAAATTGACGTCGCACCGTATTGTACGACGGATGAGCAAAGGTGACATGGTAAGTCCCGGGATTAAGCAGGCGAAAATACGCCCCGTATTTTCGTGAATGAATTACTTTCCCTCCTTCTTCTATTCTGATTTCTACGTTCTCAATTCCTGAACCAGTACTGGCATCTTTAACGTAACCACTTAACGACTTGTGCACCTGAAAATGACTAGTATGCTTTTTTTTCCAACCTTTGAAGTTAATCGCACCATGGGTTTGCATTACTGCTACTCCTAAAATTATTATCATGTTACATGAAAGAATAGGAGGAAGCGCGCACCTGAGTTATATAGTCAATCAATGCGTATTTGTTGTCATCCCAGAGACCTTTCAAATCTTTTGCGAATGAAAACTTTTGGCAGTTCATTTCGATAGTCAGTTCAAAGCATTCAGCGCTGACGTAATTCCAATCTTGCATACTTCCTGAAAGGCCCCAATTATGCTCTAGAGAAGCCTTATCTTAATGAGGCCTCACACCCACCAAATTAAATTGAAATCTTAGCAAGATAATTAGACCAATTTGAAAACAAGAATTGAAACTCCATAGATTACTGTTAACTCATTGAGGGAGAACAGCTATGGCTTTATAGCTACATTAAGCCACTTTTACTAATACCATCTATGCAGATAGCAGAAGCTTTCGTTATTAAGTGTATGGAGAGGGAATAACAAATTGCTCCTTGAACAGTTTCCATACAATGACTTAAGGCAGCCAAACGTTTTTAAAACTGGTACTTCTTTTAGATCTATTAATTATCAAATAAAAATCACCTGGAACTGGGTACCATTCAGCTCCGTTAATGACTCCGGTGACCGGCTCTCCGCCAAATCCTGGGAAACATCGCGGACCCTATATTTTGTCTACTGACGTTGCCAGAAAGTAATGCAAGCAAATTTATTTGAAATTAGAAAACTTATGACAAATAAAGTTTCTTAAGAAAGGTAGGCTAGGATTTTGCACAGTTTTGAAAAATGCAACAAAAGATTGGCATTGTTGGGGCTACGTTACTGTTAAATAACAGAACTGGTTAGCGCCCTACAAATAAATCTCTTTTAAACCCTACTGAATGAGTTGTTAATGTAGAGCATCGGAACCACCACTGAAGAAGACGAATTAACTACGAATTTTTTAGACTACAACATACAACTAGTGAAAGCCAGCGTACAAATTCGGAAGCTGTTTCAGCCTGGTGGCTGCTTTTTTTTCTGGCCATTCAAATGATGAATCCTAAGAGTAACAAATGTGGCTCTGTTTACAGCCGATAAGGGCAATTGTGCCATCAAACCAAAACAGAGTACAAATCCGCATCAAGATAATGCTAGTCACGGGATATATCGCGCACATTAGAGCCATTACGTTACTTGGCGATACTGAATAAAAAAATAGTAAATGGAGAACGATGGAAAGCACCTTTTTCCACATATACGCATGAGACCGAGCATATGAGTAAGCAAGTCTAACAAATATTTCATGGTCTGGTGTATGAGATACCAAATTATTTGTGTTGCCGTCGTCATACGGGTAATTCACCAGAACCGATCCGTCGTGAAGGTTCGCAGACAACACAAATGGTATTGTCCTGCGAAAATTCTCAAAGTTGATTAAACTTAATTATCACTGGCAAAACGCAACAATAATTCCTGTAAAAATTTTAAAAAAAAGTGAAAATTAAGAGGAAGCTTTTTATCTGGTACTTCAAACCTTGTCCAATTCATGACTGCTACTGTTTCAGGTTGTGGATGAGCTTCTTTAGCGTGCAACCTTTGCGGGAAGTCCCGATTTAAGTCGACAAAATTAGCATTTATTCGGCCCTAAAGTAAAAAATGCGCCATTGCTTAACATTTCCGTCTTGATATTACAATGCACACCAACAAAAGAGACTGCGCTTAGACTTACCTTTATTCCCTGAACATCACCCTCATGAGATATTTCATATCCATCTGGATTCATTGTTGGCATTATATGAATACTAGTCGAATTCACTAACCTTGTCAGGAATTCATTTTTTCCATAGTTCTCCAAAAGCACTTGAACAAGGTTAAGTAAAAGCTCTCTGCCGGTCACCTTAATTAGGAGATACCATAAATAATACAACAGAAATCTATAATTGAGACGCGGAAGATCCTGTGCCGGTGTGCTTCCAAAGTCAACAAAGAGGCTTAAAGCAATATAATTAAAGTAGTTAGTTTGAAGCAGTTTAAACTATTTTAACAGTTTAACAAAACAAAAAATTTTTGATTACTACTGCCGGCTAATATTAATGTTAACAATGATAGCACTGCCTCTTCCGTTCAGAAAGAAAACTGTAGGCGTTCACTTCTTTTTCAACTCCAAAAAATTTTAAATTGTCAGCAGTGGATGAATTTGGAGACTTAAAGTGTATAATAAATGCCCGGAGGAAGCTTAAACTGGCTCTGAAGTTTTTTAAAAAGCGTTCTTGGGAAACCTACTCCTGTGGTGTCTACCTAAAGTTCCGGCAGAGATTAATAGTTGGACAGGTACTTTAGCAAATAAAGAAAAGAAAACTGCTACATGTTTACTGATACTCTGCAACTGCTTCGTATTCCAGCAGTGTTCACAATGCTACAAAGAACAAAACAAAAACTAGTAATTTTTGGATCAAGAAGCTTTTTATTCAAAAAGCTCCTTTCTTCCTAATTAGAAACAATGAGAAGTGAGAGAGCTGTGTGCTATAGGTTAACATACAGCCCTACCCTACACTATTGCTGCTAACTGCAAAAAATTGTTCTTTTTTCGGCAGAGATTACTAAAAAATTGAAAGACGCACCTCATTTCCGTGCATATTAGCAACGTATTTGAAGTTTGGTTTACTAGGGTTTTCGTATCGAGCGTTGTGAGAAATGGTTATTACCGGTAATTCTCTGCCTAGAACCGACTTTCCAATCGAATATAGGTAAGCCAAGTCCGGATACTTTTGGCTATATGACTTTAAAAATATTTTGCTAATTAAGCGATACAATGGCAAAGTGATAAGAAAAAAATAATAAGTAACACCCGCTAAAACATGCAGTGGAAGTTTCTTTAATTAACCTTTCATTTCAACTACTGAGCGAGTAAGTTCTTAAAAAATCAATGTTAAAATCAATCGGAATTCAAAGCTAATACGATCGACGAAACAGAAAAAAAAGGTAGGACCATTAGAGCTTGTTGATTTTTCACAGACGGTTTGGCAAAGAAATAAAAAAACCTTCTTACTTATTAAGCGTAATCAGCTGTCACGTTCACATAAAAACGTCTTACCTTTAGCTAAATTAACAAGTTACGGTTTAAACCGGATGATCCCTAACGCTACCCCAGCTTTATTCCCAAGTTTTGGAAACTATGACATAGCAGAGACGGTTAGACGTTTGATTTAATATTAAAATGAAGAAATATATTTTAACATGTTATTTTAAAAGCGCTATATGCTTTCTTCAGGGTAACCTCTCACTTTATCTCTCTCTGCTCGAGTTGTTCAAAACGTTGCAAGCGGCCAACAAATGATCTCTTTTTACTAAAAAAAGTAAATTGTAACTGAAAATCCTTAGTGCTCTAATGATCTTTTTGAAGACTTTGCAAAAGCCGGAGTTCCTGTTTTTTGCTAAACAGA